TGCATTATATAAAGGTACAATTCCCAATGAGAAATGTAATTGTGTTGTATACCTACAATGTACCAATAAAAGAATTTAATACAAAAAAAATTATAGCAATGCTAAATATATATTATTCTACTATCTAATACATTCTAAAGATATCTCTAATATATTCCAATAATAATTCTAATATTCCACCTATGAAACTAGATAAAAACAAAGGAGAATAAAAAAAGAAAATAATGATGATACATGGGAGAAATTAGCAAAAGTTACTATCCTACCAATTTGGAAAATTTCTGAAGTGGATTTACAGCATTTAATATTTAATATTTAATATTCTTAATATTTAATAATTCACAGCTGGCTAGCAAGTCCTGAACATTTCCTACTGTGGGATAGGAACACCATGGCTTCCGCTGTATCAGAACCCGAAGCCTTCCAAGTGCAGTCATCCTCCCTGGCGTCTCAGAGTTTTTGTTCAGCTCCCTCTGCAGCCCCAGGCACTGTGGTACTCAGAGCACAGAAGTACTCAGCTGTGTCGCTCCAGTGCGCAAAGCGTTTTCTCAGGTGGAAGGAAGATTGGCTCTTGCTGTATTCAGCCTCAAAGCCTTTGATGCCTTGAACCCGGGTGTCTCCTGAATAGTACTTGAGGAGAGGCTGGAGGCCCTGCCCGGGATACTGGACGTACCAGAAGAGATAAACGACTCCAGCATAGGTGTACTTGCACCTCAGCTCCAGAGGGGCTCCTTCCCGGACAATGACTTGGGCGTCAGGCTGGCTCACTGACTGAGCTCTGGCATCTCCTGGAAAATGCGTATTATGTCCGTCAGTGTTAAAGAAAAATAGTTTTTGCTAAGATTTAAATAAGGAAACCGTGACTTACATGACCACAAAATTTTACTTACTCGGGGCAAAATGTAACCCCAGGACCAGAATGAGCACCAGGAGCATCTCTGAGCACTGGGAACAACGCAGGCCTCTGTCCTGACAGACTGAGAACAGGAAAGTGGCTGTGGTGGGACCAGGCTCTTGGAAATGGGTGGTGTGAGTGGAGCCAGGCTAGACACGCCCTGCGTTTAAGCAGACAAAACCTGCTGGGGTGACGCTGGGCGCGTCTGTCCTCTGTTCCTTCTCACTTGTCCAACTGAGATCTCAGCGGGGAGCTTCAGTCAGCTGCAGGGAGGAGGGGCCCAGGGGAAGGTACTGATCTTCCTGGGAAACCGGGACTCTAGTTTGCACAACAGCGCCCTCTGCTGGCCGGATGCAGCGTCGACGATCCAGTCTCCTCACAGGATTTAATCTGTGCTTTTCTGCTTAGGGATGTAACAAAAACTTTCAATGGATTTTTTTATTCTTCCATAGTCAGTGCTCTACCCCCTCTGTAGCTCATTATATTCATCCTATCTTTAATGTAAAACAAGCCCTGTGAAAGGCTGGAGTTATTTACTTTTTTTTTTTTTGAAGTAATTTACTTTTGAAAAAAAATGATCACAAAACAAGGCTGATAGATTCTGGAGTCCATCACCTCCTGTTTATAACAGCAGTGGAGCCTTCTTTAGGCTGATTCTTCAGATTAACTTCTCACAGCTGAGCTCTAGATAGCCTTGATGGCAGTGAGCATCCAATCCTGAGGAGGATGTGGTAGGATGTGGACACAATTACACTGGCTCGTGAAAATAAAAACGGAATCATGTGGCCCAATGCAGTGGTCCATGCCTAGTCCCAAGTAATTGGGAGGCTGAGGCAGGAGAATGGCTTGAGCTCAGGAGTTGGTGCCCTGCCTGAGCAACACAGCAACACCTTGATTTAAAATCAATATATATTCATACGGTCACTTTACAAAATTACAGTCTAGAACATGGGCCCTCACTCGCCTTTTGTCTATCTCAGACAGAATTGTGAAGATCCAGTGGCCTTAGGTCAACAATAATTGATAATATTGTTACTTCAGAAAAGAGTAAAATCGCTAAAGATCTAAATATTAAAACAGAAACGCTGAACTGCCTGGAATAGAGGTTAGGTAGAACTCTGGAAGACATTGGTGTAGGAAAAGATTTTATAAACAAAACCTCAGTTGCCCATGAACTAGCACAAACAATCAACAAGTGGGATCTCTTTTATTGAAAAGCTTCTACACAGCAAGAGAAACCACCAACAGTGTGAAGAGACAACCCATAATAAGGGAAAAAAATTTCATCTGCTAAGGGCCAAGGATTTAGCTCGGTGGTTCTGCTGCTTGCCTTGCAAGTGGAAGGACCTGAGTTTGATCCCTGGTACCAAAAAGAAAAAAATTTTTTTCACCTGTTTTTCCTCAGACAAAGGCCTACTATCTAGAATCTATAAAGAACTTTAAAAAATCAGACCTCCCAAATGTAAAGACCCAATCTAAAAATGGGCATGTGAAATGAACAGACGTTTCTCATACAAAGAAGTACAAATAGCAAATAAAAGTATGAAAAAATGTTCAACATCACTGGTCATT